CAGCACTGTTTTTTATTCGTGTTTCACAGCTATACACTCTATACATTGCATGTTGCAATATTTTTTCTCATCTTAATATTATGAATATATTTTGTAATTACAAATAATATTTAAAAAATAAATCCGTACATTATGGCGGCAGGCGTGACTTAACACTAGGGTTTTGTCAACATCTAATGTGCACACTACGTCAACATAAAATTTCATATTGTAATTATATGTTATTACAAAAATATACTGTATTCTAATGAAATAAAACAAAATTTTGTAGAAAAAATAAGATTAATTTATAGATTAAAGATTAAAGGTTTAAATATTAATAATAATATCGATTAATTTATATTGTTCATTATTTTATGGTAATTACTTATAAATTATGAATCAGTAATATCATTTGAAAGTAATTATTTTATACTTAATAATAAGTATAAAAATCAATAAAAATAAGATTATTTGAGATTAGATTATTGATATACTTTATCTATTGATAAAAATAAGACGAATAATTTAACATTTTCATAGTTTTAATTCAACAATCCCAAATATAACAACAATAGGGAAAGTTAAAATAATTATCGTGTAAACTATTCAAAAAGGAATAAATCAATGTAAATGTTTGAACTAAAGTCTTATACAAAATACAATCTTATGTATTACAATTCAAAATCTTTTGACCAAGTTTAAATATTGTAAAATTTGACCTTATATAGAAATCTTTCATCTCATAGACATTAGTTAACAGAAAATAATGATTAAAAATTGTTCATGTATATCGTCGTACACAAAAATGCATTATTAATTTTTTGGTTTCAGAATGAATACATTATTTATAAAATGAGTTTAATTACTCTATTTTTAAAAATCACTTTTTCATTAATATAATTTTACACTTAAAATAGTCATGTTTACTTTTGAAAAATAGTCGAATCATAGGATAATTCATGGTGTTTTAATAGATAAAAAGATGTATAGCACTTAACTGGATTTATATTTAAAATTTAATATATTTTGTCAATTTATCATTTAAACTATTACAGCTATTAATTTTTTTTAATTAAAACTAAATTTATTTTCTTGTTTGGAAAATGGTATTGACAAATTATTATTTTTGTTTGTTGTGTACTTGTTTTAATTGAATTATTTATTTTTTAAAATTACGAAATATATATTTATATTTTTATTATGGTTTTGTTTTTTTTATGATTTTAAATGTAATAATATTGCGTGATTGATGCAATTGATAAAGAAATTACAGTTAACATTCTTCTATTACACACATTTTGCTTATCATATGTTAATATTTTTTAAGAAAAGTGAAAGTTAATTCATTTTAATTATTAATAGGGTTAAGATTTTAATAAGTTTTTAGTGGGTAACAAATATTTAAATACATAAAATAGATAGCTAGCGTGAATGAGTAAATGGAAATCTTAAATGCAAAAGAAAAAGTTTATTTCATTTTTGTATCAGATAAAAATAACACAAAATGTTCTTTAAAATTTAATATAGAAAGTAGTATGTTGTACTGAAGTCTAAAATTTAGTTAAACAATGATAACAAAATATGCCAGTCATATCTTTTTCACTTGGTGAATAAGGTCATACATACATTTAATTATTAATTAATGCTGATTACAAATTTATAGCTACAACTCTTCGTATCTTATTCGTTTTATAGATGGTAATACTTATTGATGCTATCATTGAAAAAACCCAACCCAACAGATAAAAAATTAAATTAAACATATTAATTAAAAGTCTTAAGTCCTATCAGATAATAAAACTAATCATGACCAAATGTCTTGAATTGGTAAAATTTTCTTCATTACCACTCTAAGCATTTGTTCTATCTGTTACAGTTTTTATTTTTTAGTGTTATTTAATACAATTTGAGTATATTTAACAATAGAATTTTGTCATTTAAAGAGAAATTAACTATCAAGATGATGAAGTTACTTGTTTGTCTATGTTTGATGTTGGCTGCAATCACCTTAACTATGGTATGGAAAAATATATGAACAATTTGGTTAAAATTTAGTGGCTCTAATAACTTTACAAAAATGTATAGAAAAATATTATAATTATGTATGATATAATATTATTATTAGATATTATATATAATAAAATGTAACCACTTATCATTTTAATAATTTATATTATAATTGGTTATGAAAAAAAATTTGTTTATAATAATTTGTAAAAAATATAATACTGACACCTTTTTAGTTAAAAATGTGAAAAAAATGTTGTCAGTATAAATTGTAACTAATTATATAATGAAATATTTCTTCGTTTTTACGTTTTTATTAGTCTGCAGTAGTTGGTGGTTACAACAAACTGAAAGTTGATAGCGAGATAGTTAAAAATTTGACAATATTTTCTTTGGACCGAATTACCCAACAAACTGGTTCTAACCGTACATTAGCTGTAGCTAAAATCGAATCAGCTGAATCTCAAGTAATTAAATTAGGAAAAAGAATTATTACTTTTAAACAAAAAATAGCAATAATAATTTGTTATAGGTTGTTTCTGGATTAAATTATAAAATTGGTATGGTAGTTTGTGAACAAGACTCAGCTAAGGAAAACCAATTAATTAATGAGGTGTGAATTTTTCAAAAAATATTTATAAAATTTTAAAATTACTAGTATTATACGTATAAAATATTTTTATTTTTAGAATTAACTAGTGATAAAACTTTCTTTTATTATCATTGCATCATTAAACCAATGAAAATTAAATTACAAAAAATATTGATTTTCTATAAATTAAAAAAAAAAATATTACAGTTTTGAAGCTAATATTAGTTTGTTATATTTATTAATATTTCTATAGAAATATTAACATATAGATACAAGCGACATTAACATTAATTGAATATATAACTGCTTTTACTGACTTTATAAATTTAAATTACGTTTAGATTTCAATATACTAAGTGTTAAAAAAACATTTTAAGCTTTACTGGAAAATATTAATTTAATTTTTTTGATTTTCAGGCATGTCGCTTCTGTTGTATAACCATATGGGAACAATCTTGGTTAAACAGCACAAAAGTGACAAATGTGAATTGTTCAGAACCAGGAAATCTTGAATCATTATCATCTGCATCTTTAAATAAAATGGAATAATTACGATAATAATACTATATATAATTTTTTTACTTGTATTTAAAAAATGTAATATTCCGTACATATGTACTTTTTATATTTGAAACTACATACAATTATAAACGTTTAGACTTTTCATGTTTTATTTTATGTATTAAAAAGATAAAAGATAAATATTGATCAAATATGAAAATATGTTTAAAAACCTGACACGTTTAAATGTTTATTAAATATAAATAAAAATAATGTATTATACATCCACAAAAATATTTCTCAGAGGATACAAAGTTTATAACAGTTTAGGTCATGAAAGCAATTACCCATATCTCATGTGCTATAGATGCGCGATCTCCCGCTCCTTAAATTCATATGATAACCTAATTTATTTACTGAAAATAGTACTTTTAAAGGATTGAGAGCAAATAAATAAAGTTATGAAAAAGAAAAAAAATGCACTATGAATTTACATTTGGTTGTTCAAGAAGTGCATAGATAAGCATTTAATATCGCAAGACTATTCGCTCCAGATTGTCTCTAATTTATTCTTTAAACATATCAGTTTAATTTTCAGTAATATTTTTAATATTAGTCACTTTGTATTTAATTGCCGACAAATTTGTGATGTTTGTCATTTTTATCAGTATTTAGATATCCACTGACATTCTTAATAGTCTATTATAGCTTTACTAGGCTCGCAATTATGATATTTTTTTACCAATTAATTCATGATTTCTTAAAAATATCTTTAGATCAGACAACCTATAAGTGACGATGAATTTCAGTAGGAATAATATTTTAATAATAAAAATTCGATTATCAAAACATATTGAATTCATTCCGATACTATGTACATTTGTATATGTTTTCATAGCATCGCAATAAGTTTTCACACCTACACTATAGAAAATTTAAAAAAACAGATAACTATAAACGTAATTATAAATATCATTAAAAACTTGAGATTTAAAGCTGAATGATTCAAAACACAAAGTAGTAAAGTATTGAATATATTAAATGAGACATCAAAAAATAAGTTACGATGAGTATTTCATCCGAAAAATCTATTGTTCTATGATTTGTTGATGAATATCTGTTGATAAAACAATTGTTAATAACAAGGACATTTTTTGTTGAATAATTTATAATTAACGTGTCCTAATGAAACTTTTATGTTACTTGATAACATTTTTCGTTACCTGAAATACTGTTTTTATTCAATGTGATTTACTAGGATTTCATGAGTAAATTATAAGATATACTTTTTATTCGATTTCAGTACTTATACATAAGTTTTAAAGAAATTTACCTATTTTATATTATATTAATAAAACTAGAAATTAGACTGACTTCTTATTTTCATTTAATTCATAAAAATATTATTGAGATCGGCGGAATAATAACGAAATAAATTGAATAATTTCAATATTTGCTCCATGTTGAACAAGCCAAAGCATAATTACGTTCAGACAACGCAATATTTTTGACTACTATTAAGGCTTCAACACGAAGGTATCCCAACATATAATATAAACTCTCGATTTCGGACAAATCTTGCCGACAGACCACTAGAGTAGTAAATCGATCCAGGAAAACGGACCACTAAATGACGGCAATGGAATTTCTGGTAACTGCGATCCGAGCGAAACGTGACTATAAGATTTAAGATCTTGAGGATGGATATTATCGTTAGACATAGATAAGTTAGGACCACTAGAGCTAGTTGATATGATGACAATAGGTTGACAAACCACATTAACTGAATTCACCGTATGCGACACGTGGTGATCAGACATATGTGAATCAATTTGACTAAAAAAAGTGGTATCAATGCCGGTTGAGTGTCTAAATTCGCAAACATGTCGACGATGGATTCGGATTCGAACGACGACAGTATCCCTTGCCAAATTATGACCTTACGGGCTCTAATAAAATTTTGCTAACGCGCTCTGATCTATTTGTATTCGCATTTGCCATTGTAAAAATTTAATTACAACTTAATAAAAATAGAATAAAATATAACAAATAAACTTTATAATTAACGTGATAATAACCACGTATCTGGGTCGATTAAAATAAAAAATTATTATTTGAGCAAAAACTTTTCTTTTATTTTCCTGAATTAATTAATTTACAATGCGATATACTAAAAAGAAGGGAAAAAATAATTTCAAATTTGCCTTAATTTCTAATGACTATGTAACTGTTGTAGGATTTATTCTTAGTAGTGATCTTGATCCTAGACCCCACATATTTGTTGCGAGGCTATTAAAACTTTGGGGTTAAGATTATGTAGGGATTTTCGGTTAGGTCTATCATACAAGGTGTTTTATTGTGCACTTGTTCGCCCTATTGTTGAATATGGTACCGTAATTTGGGATCCACATGAGCTCAATGACTCTCTTAGACTAGAAAGGGTTCAGCGAAAATTTATGAGATATGCTAGTTTTAGATTGAATATCCCTTATGAACCCTACAACTATGGACCAGTTGCTTCTCAACTAAGGCTGGTTTCGTTGGCTGAGCATAGACGGATCTCTGGTATTAAGTTCTTAAATAGTTAATTACAAGGTAACATTGATTTCCCTATTTGCTTTCGTTAATTTGTTTTAGAGTTCCTCGACGTCATTCTCGATTTGTTGCTCCTTTTTGTGTTCCTTTCGTCTCCACTAATTACCTTAAAAATAAGCCTATTACACGTATGATGTGATGTCAAATGTCAACGTTGACCCTTCATTTCTTCTTTGCTTATAATTAACTGAATAGCTGCTAATTTATTATTTATCATATTTGTACAATTAATGCATAACTGATATGTATAATGTGCATACATGTTCAAAGGGTTTATCCCGTATATTTAATAAAAATAAAATAAAATAAATGTTTAGTAATATTATAATGATATTATATAATGTTAAATTAATAAAGACTGGTGAAAAAACAAGAAGGTAAACGCTAATGATGTAAGTCGTTGGCTAAACTGTTAAAAGTGCACATTTGAGACAAATTAACAATGATGATGTGAGTTTTATGCAATTCTGCGTTACTCAGATAATCGTTTGGGTACTGTTCACCACAACACAGATTAATAAACCGCCGCAACCATAAAGTTACCCAAATCATTTGATTGCATGACGAGAAACATGTGAACCATTCAAATTCAACATCAGTGATAATTGCAAAAGAAAATGCTTTGGTTAACATCAATTGGTTTTCGGGTAGCAAAATGGCCACATAAAAATGTCTTCCACTACATCTATATCTTCTAGCGCTTTTTTAACTTTAGCTGTCCAACGAACCAACAATACAGTGGTTCACAACTCTAATTTGGACATTGTAGTCGCTTTTCATGGATGCCATCTTTGTTTTCGTACCTACTAATGAAGTAGCATATGATCCATCTGCCGACCGACTACGAATATATAGTATGGCAGCATACTCTCTCTCTGACGCGTTACAAAATAGACATAATTGAACGCATCCGGGTACCAGGACAGAAACGTGTCTTGGAATTGGAAAAGAAGGTCACACGAACAAACGCTTGTGACCTATCGGCCAAATACTGTGCCATTAAATCATCCCAGTTTAACTGAATTTTTCAAATGAACTGTAAAATATGCTTCGCATGAAACATCATAGAGAGTCAAAAATTTGTGCTGTAGCGAATAGAACTTAACGTGTAGTGATAGTATTGTGTAACAACTGTACTTAGAACTCTGACATATTTTTACAAAACTGCCACTACAGTCCGAAAACCTTAACAAAGCCACCATTATTATCATTAAAATTTAAAGCCGCGGCAACTCTAATTTCCTGTAGTATTCAATATGTGAAATTTTTTTGCCATTCTTTGATAACTATTTAAATTAAGTTCACGATGGAATGCCCCTGTTTGTTATATATTATCGAAGTTAAAGTATAAGTATTAAGAATTTTGTATTAAATAAAAGATAAATGATTTAATTATAAATTCAACTTAAAATGAATTAAAATTTATATATAACACATACAATACACAATCAATCCACTAACCCATAAATCATAATAGTGAGAGAATGGCTCTATTAGATTAGCTATTAATCTAATTAATCAAAATTGATAGTATTGCTATGTAATCCGAGCGTGTGACTAACATTTTTTTATCATATTGATGGATATCAGCTAGAACTATTAAATGATGAATTTATTAGTAATTAAAAAATATGTCATTCACGTTAAGACAATTTCTACAATTATTATAACCATGGTTATAAAATTTATTTTTATTAACTTAAAAAAATACAATAAACAGAAAATCTAAATGTCATCATAAATGTTTAAAGTTTCTTCTAAAATTAGGGATCAAAATGTTCATAACAATCTGAATCGGTTGAAATTGAACAAAAGTCATCAACATCTTGTGGATTTTGATTATGCGCCTTATATTTTATTGCAGAAATCAATACATCTACTATAGTGATATGACTTAATTCTAAAATAATGTAAAAATTTCAATAAATAATTTTACATTAAGATTATTCTCAATAGTAAGTAAAGTATTATATCGACTTAAACTGTAAGTTAAGAATATATTTATTAAAAATATTATGTATATATTAATTATATTTCCATCGTATATATTTATATTGCTGAAGCCGTATAAAATATAAGCTGTTTCGTTACCAATGATACCGATTCTCGCCTATTATTCGTGCGACGGTTGCCTAACCTCTTCTATGATTGATAACGTTACCGACAACGTTATTAATTGGCCGCTCATTTGTTACACACACACATATCACCGTAGAATTTTAAGGGTACAGTTAGTTTTGTAAATTAATTGTTGAATATTTTACAAAAATTTTGTTTTTGTAATTTCTTTTTTTTTAGTATAATATGATAATAGCTATAAGGGCTTTTTATAAATTAATTATTTTCTAGTCTAATCTGTGATATACAGAGTGAGACAGATCTAACTGACAACTCATATAACTTATGATTTACATTATATCTTATACTTTTTTTTTAATCAATTTTTACTATATAGGACTATATTTAAAATATGTTCATATAGCGTATATGTCTATACATGTTATGTAGCGCGAATACAATAAATTTTTTAAGGTGACTCCTCTCTCCTATAGTGATTTTATTACCGCACTACACATTAACAGATTGGTCAGCCCTTAAAGTGATATACTAAAAAGGTGGACCATTGACAAAGAAGTGTGATGACAGGGTAAAATATTTTATCACTTAATACTCTTCAATTTATTTTTTAATTACGTTTACATACTTATGTAAGCATCAAAATGATCAATTGAAATATTTAGGGTTTTTGTATAAGTTTTACGAAAAAATCAAGTATTTTTTAATAATGGTGATAATAACAAAAATTACTTTATCAGATGTTTCCTAATAAGGTTTCTTATAGTAACGATTTAATAATTAATAATTATCAGTTAAATAATTGAAAAAGCATGAATAACCTTGAAAATAAGAAAATGATATAACTAAAAAAATGATTGGTCTTCAATAACTTTTGAAGTTTATGATGGTTTATGGGGTGGTAATAATTGTTACTTCACTTGGTCAGCAAGATCGAACTTCACACTTTTGGCATGAGAGTGACGTTTAATGACTAAATTGTTATATTTCATTATTTAAACTACCTATTCCTACTTTTAATATGATGGATTCAAAAGTCCGAGTACTGCAAATTTTCTTTTCTATTAAATTCTCGTCTTATATTATTGGTTGACATACAATCACATATTCCTAATATATTAAAATTATTTTTAAATTTTATTTATTAAAATGTATAAAAAGTAAGATAAAAAACTGAAAAAGTATTAGATGAATTTTACTTTGTTACTAATATATAATTTTTTATTTGTTATTAAGTTATAATTAATTTAAACCATCAATTAGATAAAATTCATACATTAATTTATTAAACATTTAACTATAAGAAATTAGACCCTAAGTATATTGTACAATAAACTTTCAGCTAGGCCTGCGCAATAGTCATTTATTATATTTGATAGTCCACGTTTTTATTTTTTCATCATATTACAAATAGTGGGCATTAATTTTTTTATAGTAAAATTTTTAATTTAACTAATTAAATTTTCTATTGAAATAACTTAGCATTTTCCAGTTAATTAGTTAAAATAACAGTTAAGCTAAATTTAATTTCATTTATTAAAAACGATAGCACAGTGACAGAGGTAGGATAGTTTGAATAAGTATAATTGATATCTAACTGTGATTTTAATCACCGTCATTAGAAATGATTCGATATAATCTGTATAATAGTGTTTAATTCTAAGAAATTTCTGCATAATTACAAAAGCAAAATCAACTCCCATTTCCTTATTTATACCCGGCTTACAAGTTTTATTATTTATAGGTATGTATCACCGCCAAAATAATTAACAGTATTTAATTGTTTAATAATTTAAAAAATATGCTAAATCTGGGCTATGGTAGTGTTTAGCGAAGCTCTATTTTAACCATAACCCGCAGATAAGAATTCTTCTACGTTGCGTTCCCTGCTCGCCTATATACATATATAATAAAAATTGAAGAAGTTATAAGTGTTAATAAATTTTGTAAATCGACCCCAAGATTAAAGTTGAATGTATGCCACTGGGCATAGATTAATATTAATATGTCTAAATTTATTTTTGATAGTACATTCACAGAAAATTCAAACAAATCGGAACAATTAATAGGAATATATTTTTTAAGTACATATTTAGATAATGCATTATGTATGCTACTGACTTCAATAAGAAAATTAAAATATAGGTACACATTATATAACGGTAATAAAAATAAATCCATTATAAAACAGTATTATTAAATTTATCCTACATTATCAATGTCACTACAATTTACACTAGTAAAAATATTAGTAAAATAATCACCTAAATGTGATATTAGTCTTTTTATTTCATGTACAGTATCTGTGTTCTTGAATAACTCGTTAATTAATCCATCGACTTCTTCTAGAGTTATTATACCATCTCCATTACTGTCATTCGATCGAAAAGCATTGATATACATAAATACCTCATCTTTAGTCAATTTTATAACCTTAAGTCAAAAGATACTAACTGTTTAATTTATAATTATCATTATTATTATTATTGAAATTTTTATTTTACATTTGTATCTTCGTCTCCATCCTTTTCTGTGTCTACCAAAAATTCCAAAAGTTTTAACATAAAAATTTGCTTATTTTCTAAAAAAATATATAAACCAAGCTAATTGATTTTAGATAATTGAATAATTTAGGTATTCTTAGACTATGTTAAACTATATGTTTTAATATTAACTTTTTTCAAAATTTAACATTAAAAAAATGGTAGCACAGTGGGGACGCGGCACAGTATGATCGTGGCATAGTTGGGACAAGTATAGATAATATCTGACAGTGACTATCATAAGAAACGCTTCGATGCAAATCTGTAGATAGTGTTTAATTTTAAGAAATTGGTAAATTTTTAAAGAAAAATTCTAATTCAAAAATAATTAAGGAAAAATTACAAAAAAATCATTGACGTAATGATTTTTACTGAATCGGCAAACGTTCTCGCATTCGTTTTTTGATAAAATTGGCAATTTAAGCTGAATCAATTGTTAAAATTACTTTTTTCGACTTATAAGAAAAAAAAATTGAAATAAGTTTAACTTTATATTTTAAATAAAAATACCAAGAATTTTAACACAAAAATAACATATTTTTGAATATAATAACCGTGTGTCACTATATTTCGATATTTTTTTTTTAATAGTATAGTATATTACATAAGCTTTAATTTAAAATATGTTTAAAGGACGCAGTGTTCCCGTAACATTTTCAAAAGTTAAGTAGAAAAAGTTGAGTTTTGTTAAAAAGTTGCTATTTTGAATCCCCTTTTGTGGGCCGGTAAAGGGTCAGATTTTTAAAAATATTATATCAAATAAAAGGGAATTACTTAAGATTTCAATATAAAAAAAAAATTATTTTAATTTGTTCATATTTCAATAAATTATGGCAATTTTTAGAAAAAAATGTCGAAATTTACCGATTTTAAAAATCGTATTCTTTTGGGAGGATTCCCAACGGGTAACGAGGGAAAAAGTTTTATTTTTTGAGGATTATGTCTTCAACTAGATACGATTTTTGATCTTTTGACGTATCGTTGAGAAAAATTGGCCCAGAGAGAGCTTATAAAAAGTAATGACAGACACAAAAAAAAAAACACATCATGGTAAAATTAATAACTTTTAAGCTTCGCATGGGAGCTAAAATATATCATGGTTGATAAACATATATATATATATATATAATCAATTTTAGCTCTATGATTTTGTATCACCTAAGACGTGTAGAAATGGTCTAACATCGGATGTTCATTATAAAGTATAATCGCTATAAGGTAGGCGAAACCAAGTCGCATTGTAAATGGGCTTGTATATTTATTGCAAAAAACAAAAGAGTAATCTAAAGCGTTTATAACTATTGAATGACAACTACAATAACAAAATTATAGAGTCAATAAGGTATTGCGTGGACGTTGTGTCGGTGCGGACGATGAATAGGTGCGTCTAGCCGTGTGAGCGACCGGTACAAAACAGTATCACTGAGATGACTTCCAATGCATATTTGCGGCGGGTCGTCGTGGACGAGCGACACTCGTTGGACTTTGTACCGTAGCGTTCGACACGCGGTTATATCAGTGAAACTGCTATCTACACATAGTAGGACGATGACTGATAAAGGTGGCGCGGGTCGCGGGGCTTCAAGTACACGAAGCGACGCGGGATCGTGTCAAGTCCACAACAATAAAATTAATTTATTTCAATATTGGACTTTTACCACAGTTAACTCTTATTTAAAACTTATTTCACGTTTCTCCGCAAAAAAAATAAGTTCTTAAGACAATTTTAGCTTCGATGCGAAGTAGAAAATGTATTGTCGTGATGTGTGATTTTTTTATGTCTGTCCATTAATGTTCAGCTATCACTCGACCGATTCTAATAAATAATACCTCAAAAGAACCTGATTTTAATCTAGTTCAAGCAACTTGCACCGAAAATTTAAAAATTCCTCAATTTTAAAATTTTAGAAAAATATCTTAAAATACGAGTAAAATTAAGGATAAACACAAAAATGGTATTTTATGAAATTTTTTGCATTTTAAAACTTTTGTAACATTTTTTTTAATCACTTGTCTTTATAATGATTAGCCTAGTATTAATCTTAATAAAATTAAAATAAAGTAAACTAAATGACATAATCTTTTTATTGATATCATTTCTGTGAATATTCCATAAAGAATCTTATTAACAATAACAGAATCAGTAACTGAAAGGGTTTGAAAAAATTAATTTACGTACAAATTTTTTTTATTTAACTCAATTGTGATAGTGTTAGTAAAAGTTTGACCATCTCTAATTTATATCAAATTAACGTATTTGAAATTACTACAATAATAAAAAAATGTTTTTCAATGATTATTTTGCTATGAAAAATCGCTTATCAAAGTAAAAAAAAAATTGCAATTTTTAAATAAAATATACTTTATTTTCAATTAAGCAAACAATTTAACAAACATTTAATATTTCAGTGAAATTTAATAGTTTCACGTCGTTGTGTCTTTTATAATACTGATATCAATCACTATTAAGGATTTCAATATGATACGTTTATTCAAATAAATAAGCGTGCACAATTTGATCACAGAAATTTTTATAATAACGCAATGTTTATACGGCTTAGAGGTTATTTATTTGATATAATGTATAATACATAAAATATATTTTAATGAATTTTTAAAATACGTAGTTTTTTATAGTATAATAATAAATTAAAAAGAAAATAATCCGCAACTAAATTATGTTATTGCAACCATCTTTTGTAAATATATTTATATAAATAACTTTTAAAAGCTTAATCACAATCCTAATAGCAGGCACGTAGCCAGAAAATGTTTATTGGAGGGGCCAACAATTTTGGGCCTTTGTATCATTTTCCATAATTTGTTTACCATGAAAAGATTGTGGGGGGGTCCCTCCACTCCTTCTTAGACAGTATCCCATTCTATGAATCTTACAAGTTCAAAATTTGTGTTTATTTTTCGAAAATTGGTGGATTATTCCAAAAGTTACATGATCTGCTATTTCCTTATTAATATCCTGATTAAGATAAAGTATGTCGAATGAAAAAGAGATTATTAAAAAATATTATTTCTCATAAAAAAATTGTGCTGATCCATACATTTTTCAAAAAGTTATAGCATTATAAAGTTAAAAATGTAAAATACAAAATCGAGAATTTTTACA